ATATGATCCTTGGACAAGCGGATGCTTCGAGGGGGAGAAGGATGGAACAGCTCCTCGCAAGCACTGCAGCAGGAGATGTTCAGAGGAGCAGCGCCGCGCTAACAGCTGGTAGCGGCACACACCTTGGCCCTGCTGGAGAAATTCTCCAGGTGTCTGCGGCGTGCTTCCCCCAGGGCGTTCCTCAGCCGTGCCAGGTGACTCCGGGAGCGCCAGGAAGCGCCGATCACACCTGCTGCCCGCTGCTGCCGCAGTCCTGAGCCTGCCACGGGGCTGGGAGCCCACCTCTGCATGCCTGCAGCAGCCCCTGCGCCGCCCCCGCAGCGCTGCCCAGCTCCGTTCAGGGTCTTTTCCACAGCTGGCTGGTTCTTCATCACTGATAAAACGCCGCTTTTGGTGGGATTCTCTTTAAAATCCAAGTCTAAAGGGATTTGTGCCAACTTTTGGCTGTTGATGGTGGCCAAGGGGACAGAGTGGTCTTTGAGGAGCTTTTCTGTGGGTTCCAAAAATCCCACAATGCTCCCACAAGAGGAATGATGGAGGTGCTGGAGGGCCAGAACACCTGGAGCTTTCGGGTGAACAGCACTGTCCCAATCCAAGCAGGGATCCTGGAAGGGTTGAGCTGATTGTGGGGACTGTGGGAACAGAAGAGCCACAGATGGTGCTGTAAATGAGGGGTCAAAATGCACTTTTTTGTTATTTTTTATGACTTAACTGAGGGGATTTGTGAATCTGAAACACACTGATCCTGGTCCTGTCCACCAGAGCCACAAATCCTGCCCAGCTCTACCATCAAACTCACTGCCACACAAAAACCTCCAAGGTCATGCAACACTATGAGCAATTTTAAAGAAATACATCAATTGCACCAAGGAGTGCTTGATTTACCAAATATAAAAATTAAACTTTCCACTGATTCACTGACTGAAAGCAGAAAGTAACTGCAGTGGCATTCCTCCACTGAGGCTGCCTCCACCTTTCCCAGGAGAATGGGAAACATCCTACCATAAAAATGCAAATGGGGTAAAGCTTGGAATAGAAACATTCCAGCACTCCCTAATTCCTGGCAACTTCAGCCAGCACTCATTAGCTCTGATTTTCAATCTAAGGGCACTACACTCATACTATTTTTAGGTAATTATTTTTATTTATTTCAACATCTCATTGATAGGAAGGCAGATGGAGAGAGGGCATTACAAGGGTCTGGAGTGAAAGGACACAGGGAATGGCTCCCACTGCCAGAGGGCAGGGATGGATGGGATATTGGGAATTAGGAATTGTTCCCTGGGAGGGTGGGCAGGCCCTGGCACAGGTGCCCAGAGCAGCTGGGGCTGCCCCTGGATCCCTGCAGTGCCCAAGGCCAGGCTGGACAGGGCTTGGAGCAGCCTGGGATGGTGGAAGGTGTCCCTGAGCTTTGAGGTCCCTTCCACCCCAAACCATTCCACAATCTCAACTTCTCAAGTTTACTTTCTCTCTCATTTTCACACCTCCTCAACAGAACAAAAGTCAAAAAGCCTGGAAAGATGGAGCAAAACTCCAGAGATTTTATCACAGAACACAGTAATTATCCATAAAAGAAAGGAATGTCCCTTTTCCATGGGGATCAAGAACAAAGAGCAGGCACTACTGAGCAGTCAAGGTCAAAGTCCCCCAGAGTCTTCTGTAAATATAAAGAGAAACACCACATTTGTTTAACTGCAGTGAGGGAAATGGAGATGAAACATTCAGAAACTCTTTTATAACAGTAAAGATAGTTAGTTAAGCACTGGAACAGATGGCCCAGGGAGGCTGTGGGGTTGCTATCACCCAAAGTTTTCAGAACAGGTTAGAAAAACAGCTGTCTGCAATACTACAGGTACAAGTAATTCTGCCTGGAGGTCTGGATAACCTCCTAACATCCTTTCTAAACTAATTTTCTAAGATTCCGTAAAAAAAAACCAAAAAACCAATGCAGACAAATTTAGGGAGAATACTTGAAAGAGCAGAAATTGGAAATACACAAAGTATTTGTTTTTTATTTTATTTCAGTATTTACTACTTACTGGATGTGGTTCAAACCCTCCTGTGATTTACAGCCCCTTCCTAAACCAGCTCTGGTGAAGACAGTATTAAAAACACAAATAAAAACCTCATTATCCTCACTGAGTGATCCATCCCATCAAATACCTGTGTCTGAGGGGGAATGTGCACCTCAGATTGCAACTGCTGAGCTGGATATCTCCACTCTGGCTTTGATTTCCTTGCTGCAACCATGGAATTGCTGGATGGGAGTGGTGCAATGTTCCCTTTACTAGAGGAATATGTGCCACAAATGGCTTCCTTTGCCTTTGGGAAGGTGATGGTGTCTGTGTTCTCAGGGTCCAGCCTGCTACTGATCTCTCCTGTACAAATAAAACGTGGATTGCAGTTTTCATCTACTTATTATCAGTCGTTAATTTAATCAAATTGACAAACAGAGGCCTAATCAGGTGGTGACAGTCATGATTCCCAGCACCACTGGCTTAGCAATGGGCAGAGCTTCAGATTTGGGTGCTTAAAATTTGAAATGTGCAGGTAGGAACCCAGGAGGAGCCCAGAAATGACAGGAACCAAACCCTCCCAGGGATGAAGAAATCTGATTCCTACACAGGATTTTCCTGTGCTTTATGCCCTGCAGGATTTGGTGAGTGCTCATCACAGAGCTCTTTCCTTGGCAGATAAAACCTGAGAGTGAAGCTGGAGGTGCAGCTGAGGGTTGTTTGCAATGCTCTGTACTCACCCAGAGCTGATTTCTTGTGCTGCCTGGGGAATTCAGGGAAAGGAGCTGCTCTGGGCACAGCAGGAGGGGCTGGCAGAGTTCTCTGTGCTGCTGGAAGGATGAGCCTCTGGCCAGTGAGGCTCAGGGCACCTACAAGAAGATGACATTCCTGAGCAATTCCAGCTAGGAATGAAAAGGAATTCTTGGCAATGAAGAAAGAATTAAGCAAAGGCAGACCCAAGTTCTGCATCAACTCTACAAAAGCAGCACTTTCCTTTAATTGAAAGGTTCCTATCTTTCTTTACCTTGAAGGAAGGTGAGCTGTGCCTACAAAAACTGACAAATACATGTAAGATATTGCACCAATGCTAATTCTGAAAGACGTTTGGATATCTATAATTATATGCTTGTACAATGCAATTTAATATGCAGAATAAATGAGAATCAACTCTTGTAAAGCACAATATAATCATGCAATTACCACTAAAAACTGATTGCTAAAACAGTCCAAGCCTAGTTAAGACTGAACAATTAATAACCAGCTGTTAATCATGATAGTTTGACTGGTATTTATACCAGAACCTCCACCACACTCACAATTCTTCTTTGCAGCAGCAGCTGAACCCTGTGAGCTCCAAGAGCTGGCTCAGGGTGCTGCTCAGCAGGACAGCCTCCATCACCCCACACCTGGAGCAAGCAGCCTAAAGCTCATCCCACCCTTTGCAAGGCTTGAAATCACAATTCTTGGAAGGCTGCAGGAGGCAGGGAATTCAATTCCCAAACATCTGCTGCAAACAGCAGCACCCAGGGGGCCTCTGGGACTCACCTTTTGGGGTGTCCTCTTCTGCCAGGGGGAAGGGAGAGCCCAGGGAGTGGAAGGCAGGCAAAGCCCAAGGGCTGGTGGCTGTGGGATCCTTCCCTGTCTTCTGACTGCACACCTGGGAGGAGACAGAACCTCCTCTGCACAGGGAAACCTGGGATTTACAGATTCTCTACTCGTGCAGCAACAAATAATAAATATCATTTCTGCTGTGACTGTTTCATTAAGATTTAACAGTGCACCACTCCTTTTATTACTTGTGAACATGCTGCAGTATTGTCTACTGTTGTTACTTCAGTCATTGAAAAAAGAGTTAATTAAATTTAATTGATGTCTTGTGTACTATTTAATGAAGGAATCTCAGGAAGTTTGTATTTACACTACTCTCCTTAAAACTGAGCAGTGTTTCTTGACAGAACAGTGTTAAAAATATAAAACTAAATACACAGGCAAGGAACCAGAAGGAAAAAGAAATACTTTAAAATATTAGCTTTTAATGAGTGATTATCAAGCTTTTGGTGCAATCCAAGCCATGGCTGGGATCTTGGAACACTGTTGTGTCCTAATTATTGAATAACAGCACCCAGCAACTTTCTAGAAAGGGAGAAGGAACCCTCAAGAGGGAAATGAGACAGACCAAAATTAACTATTCTAATCTTTCCTCCCAATTTGTCTAACAATGCTGCCCACAAGAGATAAGGGACAGAAAATCTGTACTTTTTATCATCAGAGAGAACCTTTCAGAGCAAACCCAGGCCCTCACTTTAGTTATGGCCATTCTGGAGCATTGTGTTTTAAGGGATGGAGGTGGATGAATCCTCATGTGCTGGTGTTCCAAGAAAACAGCAATAACCACAGAACAAAGGTTAACTTTATGTCTGCTGCCATGTAAGTGCCTTGATGCTGAGAAAAGGGAATTATAAACCACATTTTCCTGCTCACCCTCAGCCCCAGCAGTCTGATGAGGCCACAACAAAAATACATAAAAGGTGAGAAATTGAATTAAACAGTGATTCCTCTTCCAGACTGTTGCTGCTGTAGCAGTAAGGCAGCACTGATTTAACTCCTGGTCAGTTTTATCCTAATTTCAATCCCAGTTATGTTTTTGTTATGATTTAAACAGCACATGAAATATATTTGTTTTCATTGTGTTCATAGAGATGTAATAAGCTACAAGGAAAAGCAGTTCAGGTGCAGTGTGTGGGTTCAAAAGCAGCCTGGAGGCTTGGGTTTTTAATTTTTTTTTTAATTGGAGACAGATATTTAAGTCTTTTTTGCTGTATCCTTTAATTTCTATAAAGTCCATGGCAGTGATGTTAAAACAAGGACTGAGGCAACAGAAATGTAATTTAACCTCTTGTTTACACTGCCCAGTGCCATCACTCAGCAGGACAGGAACACAGTGGGGCCACAGAGCTGACCCAAAAGAGCTCCCATGAAAATTCCACCCAATCCCTTCACTTCCAGCACCCTGACTGCTGCACTGGCTCCCTGCTGAAGAACTCAGGGAGACACCAAAGCAAAACTGCCAAACTGCTGCCATTTTGGGAGCTGTTGTTACTAAAATTAAACAAACACAATCATAATAAGGCCTCAAAAATAATATTAAGTACTGCAAGAGAAAGGTTTTTACTTTTAGCATCACTGCTTCATCATGAGCACTTCTAAAATTCAGTTTTTCAGGGCTGGAAGGGAGCTCTTAAATTGCAGGGCAGACCAAGGCTGACTTGTCTTAAAATATGCTTGGAGTGTGCTAAAAAACTATTTTTTCATTTCAAGTGCTTCTGAGTGTAATTAACCTGGGACACAAGAAAAACAATTCTATTACCCTTTCTAAAGTGTTTTTCTCCTGTGGATAAACCTCTCCCACTTTATTTTTTCTTTTTGCTTCATTTTAAATAGGGCACTTGTTGGAACACCACAGGGATTTTTCTGATTAGTTCTCTATTTGTTTTCTTTTTACCTAGCAATTTTTAACTAGAACATCTTTTTTTTTGTTGGGTTTTTGGTAAATATCTTTGTAAGTATTTTTTCCTCCAGTAAAAAACCAGAGATTGGTATTAAATACAGAGGAAAGAGGAATATTGTGTACCAAACCAGGAACAGAGAGATGAGATTTGGTAAATAAATATCAGAAAATCTGAGGGTTTGATAGTGATGGGGTAAAAGGGATATAACAGATTAATTTATCATTCCATCTATCCTTCCCCAAACTGTCAGATTTGTTGTTAAGAAGTTCCTGTCAGGATTTGATGGACACAGCACTTTCCTCTATAAAGGGAAAGAGGAAGCACAGCAAAATAAAATCAAAGGTCACTTTTCAGGATGTTCAGGAGACTGTCAGGAAAGGGCTTGGAGAAGGCAAGTTGAATTGGAAAAATTTGGAATTGCATCTTTAACAACAGATCTTGTGCTGTCCTTACCTTCTCCAAGAGTAACCAGAGATGGCTCTGAACTGTCAATTTCCCACATATTTGGAAAAATCAAGCTTTGCCCCTTTCCTGACCCACTGCTGTCTACCTCTCCCAGGAGCCCAGATCCATCAGAATTCCTCCCTAACAGGTGTGAAAGAGAATGAAGGGAGAACTTTGGTGAATCCCACATCTGCTTTGTGAAACAGGCACCAGCAGCAGCACAGAAGGGAGCGAGGGAGATAATTGCTGCCTTGAACCACAACATGTTTTCCTGGTGGGCAGAGGGCCAGCTTCCACCAGGCAGGATTTGTGGGATCAATTCCCTGATTGGAATTCAGGGCTGAGCCTCCCTTCCTGCCCGGAGCCAGCTGCAGGCAGCAGCCCATGGCATCCCAATCAGGCAGGGAGTTTGTCAGGGAATGCTGAGCTGCACACAAACAGCTTCAGCAGCTCTGCCCGCACCCCTGCCTTGCAAAATGACACTCCATCTCCAATTCCAGGTGACAAGAACTGGATAAAAACTTAAAACAAATGGTGACCTTTCCAAAGATTAATTTGTTTACCAACAAAACGTTCTGCGTTTGTCAGGAGAGATGGGGGTGACCTTCACATTCCCATTTCCAGGTTGAGAGGATGCTGACTGCACTCATCTGTTAACTTACCTCTCTCTCACCAATTATTTCCTTTTTATTTTTAGTGACAAGAGGATTTTGTTCAATCACCATGCTGCTTATGATGATTACATGTCATAATACAAATGCAAGGAGCTTCTTTTGATTTACTGTAGTGTGACATCAATTTGTTTAAGTCTCATCCTGCCACCACTGCCAAACTCTGCTTTGGCTGTAATTAGAGCCACATGCCTGGCTTTAAAACACAATCAGCTTTGGGCCACCAAAAGACTTGGTTTTCTTCTACAGCTTCTTCCAGTCACTTGAAATGATACGAATTTCCCTGATTGGCTTTATAATTTTGAAAATAAATACACTTTCAGGGATAAGCGTTAAAGATTAGCAGCACGCAAATGCTGAATAAAGAATGAATAATTGAAGATATGATTAGAATGGTTGTGCTCACACAAGTGAGCTTAAAAAAAGCCCCAGAATCACTGCCATCACCATTAGAGCCACACTAGATAAGATGCAACTCATAAAGGCTAGAAATCATCACCATATTAAATTCTACCTCATGAATAAATGAAAAGGTTCCTAAGTTTACAGTATAATATACATTTATAAGAAAACAAGGACCCAAAAGTGCCAGTATAATTCTATAACAGAACAGCAGCCCTATGAAAACAGAAGGTAGAGCTGTGAATCTTTTCTACATTGCAGCAGTGCATCAGAATTATTTTTGCAGCAATTCAGATTACTGTTCCTTTGGCTGGATACTCCATGGGAAGTATACATATTTAATAATTATCCACTCATCATTTTTCATCTCTCATCCAGATATAGGCTGCAAAAAGAAGTGATGCCCAGTGTGTGTTCCAAAGAGAATTACAGTCCTCATTTTAAAATAACTACAGAACTTAGCAGAGGATGAAGCATTATTATTAGACCCAAAAAGGTCCAAAAGGGCAACAGTTAATTGTTCTTAGTTTCTATGATAAAACCCAGCATCAGCAACTTTATAATACCAAAAGAGCAAGAAAAGACATCATTTCTGGTGAAACAATGAAATCCTGACTAATAATTTTTCCAACTACTGGAATGGCAGGATAATAAAAAGTCCGGGTAGATTTGCGCTTGACCCCTCAGGTCACCTCCAACCCCGACTTTTCAACTTCATCACGCTTTCAACCGCTCAGCCCTCGTTGAAAAGTCCTGAATGGCGCGAGACAAGCAATTAGTTTGGAATTTAATTTGAATTTACTCGGGTGAGGGTGATTTTTCCGAGTTTTTTTGGGGAGCCGCTCGCTGACCCCCTGAGGGACGTGCGCGTACGGACAGCGCCCCCTGCCGGCCGGCCGCCCCTTCCCGCGGCCGCGCTAATCGAAATTTTACCCAAATTAATGTAATTGCAGACCTGAAGCTGCACGCAGATTCATTGGCCTTACTGCTAATTATCATATATATCACGTATCGTCATATAGATCATATAAAAGCCCTCCTTTAAGTGCTGGTAGACACCACCTTTAACAGCAAACACATCTCAGCAAATATAAACTGCAAAAATTTTACAGCCAGAAAAGGCAGAACATCCCAAACCACACATTGTGCCCTAAGATTCGAAAATTTTGAAGAGAATAAATTAGAGAGGAAACACCTGCTTGGTTTTCAAGCCTGTCAGCTCCTTGGTAAATGTAAATATGTATCTGGGAGCCTGAGTAATTCACATGAAATGTTTGCAATTTAAATCCCCAGTAAGTTTTGTGTGCTCAGTGCATGTTTCAGGGAGAGTGGTAAAACACATGGCTCTCTGCAGTGGGATAATATTCCTCTCTGTGAGTGTTTTAGAGTGGTTCTAAAAAGCTATCAGCCATGATGCTTCTTTCTAATTAACTCTATTATCACAGGGTTAGACAAATCACCTCTTAAGTCTGGGCAGCAGCTTTCCAAAAATCATTTTTTTTATAAGTGGCAGCTCACAACTGTGCCATTCACAGATTCTCTTTATGTTGTTTAAAACCAAACATCCCAGAATCTCTCCTAGAGCACTGGGCTTGCTGCAGGATGCTTCTGCCACAAATTAAATTTTAGAAGAGCATCCCCATGTGAGACCATTGGCTGCGTGGACCACAGTGCTGTGCTGAATTTGTGAACATAATTGATTTTTTGGAGGGATGGCTGTGCCTACCTTTTTTTTTTTTTTGGTTTTTTGAAAGCATTCTTTGCTAAAAATATCATCTTTACACTTAAATGCTGCAGAACAATTACAGAACTGGCAGCAGAACCAAAATTTGCAGTTGCAGGAGGGAAATTTGGAAAAATCAAAACTTCATTTTGCACAATTTGAACACTCCCAGAGCAGAGAGAAGAATGGGCTTTTAATTCTTCCTGCATCTTTGGGTCACATCCAGAAGTGCCCAAGCTCCAGCCTGATTTTCCTGCCATTACTGACCATGCACATCCCATGTATATCCCTATTTTTGCTGGATTGGGATCTTGGGACATAAACCTGTTACATGTCAGATCTGTTTTCCTCAGAATTACCACTCAAAATGTTTTGATCTTTAAATACCCATGTCAAAAAAGCATGAAATTATGAGGAAATAAATAAAATATTTACATAAAAGTTAGGACTGATAAATATTAACTGTAATAGTGCAAAGCAATGCATATAATAAACCCATTAAATAATAAAAGTTACTTACAGGAGCAGATTTTTTCTTAGCTATAAGAGGCAGCCTGGTCTCATCGTTGGGATGTTTTAAACCAGCTTTATTATCCACATTCTCTGGGTCAAGCATAATTCTAAAATCCATTTCCACCTGCTGCTGAAATAGAGAATAGGGATAATCCTAAAATAACTGCACTGGGGCTGAAGTGTTTAGAGGCAGAAACTGGCTAACATGTTGTAAATTTGCAAAATAATTATAAAAATTGATATTTTTTGACTCCACACAGAACTGGGCAAACAACAAAGTGCCTTTGTTTAGATGGAAAACTTTTTAAGGAGTGGAACTATTATCCAAATGGACACATCAATGCAGGCACAGAAGCTGATTATTAGTAAATGAGGAATTAAAAACCCCTGATAGTAATCAGAATTAAAACATAGTTCTTATTGCACTCTGTGATCTGCATGGAATGAGTTAAGACTATTCTGCTAATAAAAATCAGGATTATTTAAATCCCAATGGACAGAAAAAGACTTTACAAGTTTCTTTTTGTTATAAGAAACACCTAAAGCATACCTATAAAACCCACAGGGATGCCCTATGTTTTTATTACAGCAGAAGTTTCTTAAGTTAAAAATATTTTTGTGCATATTCTTTTGTATAAACATAAAAATAAATCCAGGAAAATTCCTTTTTTTTTCAAATAAAATATGCCACAAAAAGTTCAACAATCGTTAGATGTGTACTTGAACTATTGAACAACTGTGTTACTTTGTGAAAGCAGTAAAAATGCTTTAATTTATTTATCTGCACTATATATTCTCTCTTCTTTTGATGGTAATTACAAGCAGATGTATCAATGAGATGCTCATTTAGATTTGGGGTTGTAAGAACACAAGTTATTATCCAAGCCAATTACTCTTTTACCCACATGGCTGCACAGAGACAGAAAGTTCAATTTTCACCTCATCAGTGCTTTTGTGGTATTTATTTTATTACCATAACACACCGTTATGCAGGGAGGAAACTGCTGGTGCTATTAAAAAAATAGAATTGGGGGAATTGAGCACCTTTCAATTAAAACAGGAGATGATTCCCAAAGCAAACTCCTCGCTCAGGCTGACAGGGAAATGATCAATGCAGGGGAAAGTGTCACACAGGATGACAAGAATTGGAATTATTAATAAAAAACCACCTGATAAAAGTGGCTTTGTCAGTTTGGGTGGGTGGGAAGTGCCAATTCCACACCTGCATGGATGACACTGGAATCTTTCCCAAGTTAAATGTTATCCTGGGCTGGGAGAAGGTTCCCATCTCAGCTGTCCCTGCTGAGGATTTTTTAACACTTTCATCATGGGGTGTTATCAATCCCTGACTCCATGGCAGTCAGAGCATTATGGGATGCACAGGACACCAAGCACTCCTTGAACTGGCCCCTGGCAGAAGGATCAGGGTGGGATTTCAGACCTGAGGGCCCTGGCACACACGTGGGGCTGATTTGCTGCAGCCCTGCACAGTCACAGGCTCCACTGGTGGCAGAACCAGCTGCTTCTGACAGGCACCAAAAGCAGGATTCCTGATGGAGAGAGAAACAGGCACAGAGCTTCCTAAAAATTACTGGGATTTCACTGCTAAACCCACTCTGCTTTCATCCAGTTCTAGCCAAGGGACTGCATTTTTATTTAAATTTGCATTTAGCAAAAGTAAAATCACAGGAGTTAGCAGAGCACTGCTGGAGCCACTTAGAATTTCACTTACATTTATATTTCTTTTAACTTAAAATCAAAATAGGAAAAGACTAAACTAACTTTTTCTAGGTCAATACTCCCATTTGCTTTACATGATTATGTCACCTCAGTTTTTGTGTCTTGCTGCAGTAAAACATCTGTTTGTTTCACTTACCACTTAGGGGGCTCTTTGGAATTTACTTCTTTATTACCAGCTGAAGAAAGAGTTAACTCTTGGCCATTTATAACATTGAAATAATTTTCAGCGTGTTTCTGTTAGAGAGAAGAATTATGTTTAGCCTATAACAAAGATATAATGGATATTAATTTTATTTAACTTGGATCATTATGCAACCAGGTCTTTGCTTGACTGAAAAGTTGATAAATTTTGTGCCTCTGTTGGACTAAAAATCTGATTTTGGCTGATCAAGATCAGTTAATTCTGATGAGCCAAAAAACAGAGCTATCATTCTGAACTGTAATGTCTGAGTAATCTCATCAGTTGCTGATTGGAAAGGGATCTTGTAACATAAATAAGGGGCCCAAGTGAATTATTAACACAGACTTAAAAAACAGACTCATTTTCTGGATCTGCTCTATTTTACTTACTCTCAGCCCAAGTTCAGTCCTTTCAGGTGCTTTTCTGAGGTCACAAAAATCCACGGCTTCTGCGTTTCCTTTCAAGTTGTTTTTTTCCATTTTAAGCTTCTGAAGGTCCTCCTGAATCTAAAAAGCAAGTCAGGACAAAAAGCATACTTGTAACCAAACCCTATGGGGTTAGGTAAGATTTAATTCAAATTAAATTATTCCTAAATGTAGGAAAAAAAAATCCATGCAACTCTGTACTCTCAGGATCTCATACTTCTGTACTACTATATTAATATAACTTAAATAAGAGAATACAAAGCCAAATACTTAAACTCACTGGCTGTAGAAAGGCCGGAAAAACTCAATTTTAAAACAAACCTCACACAGCAGTGACAATAAACCTCAGGACTGAGATTCTCCGCTTAAGGAACGATGTTTCCTCACACATGGCACAGGTGCTTTCACGGGGCAGGGATCTCAAAAGCTTTAAGGAGGGACACAAACTCCAGGCAGCCTGTGAGGAGAGCACAGCCCATGGCAAACCCGAGTATTTACGTTAAGCAAACAGCTCCGAGCCCCCAAACCCCGCAGTACCCCCAGCCCGAGCCCTGCTCCCTCACGCCCCAGCCGCTGCCCCTCAGGCAGCGCCGAGCCCGCGCATCCCCCGTCCCCTCAGCAGCACCGGGCGCGCCGCGCTCAGCCGAGGGATGACCCGGGGTGCTGAGGGGTAACCCGGGCTGTCCCGGCTGCTCTGCCGGGACAGGAGAGGCCGGTCCGGGCAGGGAGGTGCGGGTCCCGGCGCTGCCCGCACCCACCCGGCAGCGCCAGCCCCGCTCCGGCCATGGCGGCACCGCCGCGCCCGGCAACGGGACGCGCCGGCCGGGCCGCACCATCCGCCCCGTCGCCGGAGGGGGGGCACAGCGCATCCAGCGTG